CATACGCTGAGTGATATCATTCTGGGTCCTCTGCATGTAGTCATTAGCCTGCCTGTATCTGAAGCGGAGAGAAGATACTTTCCTTAAGGGACGATCAAGTCGGCCTACTTCTGTTCAACGCCATTCATATTGATGAAGATTGGATTCACATATTCCGCCACGAACTGAGGGTCTCCGAGATCCTGAAAATCGTCCCTCACAGGAGGGATAAATTCCTGAGTAAAAATCACTTGACGATCCTCTGGTGGGATGGTGTCCTTCCAGTCAATGACTGGGCTCATGGACTCTATTCTAGCCGGTGTAGTGCCCTGCATAATAGTATCATCGTCATCATCACCCAAACGTGCTTTACCTCGGGAGGCAGCGCCTGTCGTCATCCTGCAAAACCAGGCAGAATCATCCCCAAGACGAGACTCACCAGTGTGAGGAGGCAGAAAGTTTGAAGTGTTGCTGAGGTCCATGAACACCTCCCGTTTACGGGTTTCCATCACAGAATGACCATCCTTCCCAATAGGGACGTTTTCAGACCGCTGAGAGTGCTGTGAACGGTTGCTAGTGAGCATAGTAGTTAGAAGACTTTTGTTAGAGTCGATATCGACCGCTGGGGCAAATCGCGCTCGCCATCAATAATCGATCATTCATGCAAAGTGCATGTGTGATGCATGATGCAGGAAACGCGCATACATCTTGCTGGTGAGCTGCTGTCCCGTGTTCATTGAATCACTCCAGGAATTCAGTCTGAATTATTCAGAGTCGATTCTAGCATCGTATCATACGTGTAGAAAGTGATTCTGAGTGCTGAAGTCGGCTTATTGAAAAATCCCAGTGATGAAACGAGTCTTTAATAACAATCAATACATAATTTAACTTGACAAGAACGAGATCGGCCCTGGTATTAGGGACCATAATTAATACTTTTATGCTACTCGGCTATAATCGTGCGTCAAGATCTCACATATTCAAATTTCTTCCATAAATTCCCATTACATGCTCTTATACTCTCAGCATGTGTCCCGCTCATGCGTTGCTTCCCACTTATTAATTCTAAACGCCTCCCAACATTCCAATTCTACTCTTTTCAACGCATTCCCAATCCTACATCGTGCGTGATTTCATCACGTTTTCTTGCACGTCTTGCAGTTAGACAATTTGTGTACTCACGCAGTTCGTGCAAATTTACATCCATTTGCCAAACGAAACCTCCAACTATTGTTCACACAGTGGAGTCCACGCTTTACTTTCATGACAAACTAAATGCAAAAATCATGCAGAAAATGCACTACAACTTCCCTCTCCGTAGGAGCTACAGATTCCCCGGAGCGGAGCGACGCGGGCTGCTAGTAAACACAACAGTAGAGTTTTCCCAATGAGTAGTGAACACAACTAACATAGCTACCTAAGCTATTGGGTTTCAAGCCATCTCCGTTCAGTGTGTGTTGGACTGTGGTCGTCGTCAGCTTTGATGGTCATCGCACAAGTAGAGTTGTGTTGCTTCGGAACACCGTAGGGAGCGGGAACAAGTGTGGTGATCCTATGGCGTCACGTGTCTTGAAACTCGACATAAGAGGCGCAATATAACTAAAGAGGTGCACGCATACACATATGCTGTCTCTATCGTAGACTACAACACGGAGGTCGAAACTCTAGGCCCCGGACTTGTCATCACTCATACATCCACTCCACGAGTGTGAACACCGAGGATGACTCGACGCCAGCATAAATCCTCTCGTATGCTCCAAGTGTGAGGAAAATGGAAAGTAAGGAGTGTCATGCACTGTATGTCATCTCCTGTTTCTTCGTGTGCGGTATCCTTCGGACCAGGCGTAGTTGTCAGCAGAGTAACCTGTAAGAGGTTTTTTTTTCACCGCGATAAATGTTTGATCTGTGCAGGAATTTTTTTCTAGTCAAATACA